ACCAGAAAACAAAATAAATAAATGTGTGTAGCAGTGAAAAGAGGCGTCCTTAAAATCCCTCAAAATGTGTTGATGTTCATCAGAAATCAGAACTTAGTGTTGATCTGAATGAATACATTCAAACCCCCGACAACTGTTTATTTTAAAGTTATTTTTGCTGCCTTCAGGGGAGCCCAGCTTTAATTAGCGGGTTAAAGACTCCACCCCTCCCTCTAAATCACACCTACAGCTCAGATCTACAAATAGCTGCAGACTGAACTTTGTGTTTTTGTGTTCGCTCACGACGTAAAGCGCTTTGAAACGCCTCGCCGCTGAAATGTGCTCCGCAAGTAAGATTTGATTTGAGATGAATGAAACAAGCAGGCGTTTTTCAGGGAGGCTGCAGAGTCTTCTGGCTGCGTTTGGCGCGAAGGCGTCTTTAACCAGAGTGAGCGCGCAGTGGGATGAATTTCCTGGGAACCGAGAGAGCCTCTCAAAACTAAGCCAAATTCCAGCAGGCTTGAAAGCGTTCTCGCAAACGTTCCCAAGCCGGGAACCACAAGGAGCACATTTGGCCGTGTGAGGAAAGTGTTCGGGTCGCGGGGTCATCACCTTCCGCCGAGGCTAAGAAGCTGCAGAGCAACATTCCCCTCCTTTCGTCGCATCGTTCACTGCTGCACTTCATGTTTGACCTGGAGCCCGCAGGCCCCGGCCCCGAGGGAGCCGCGCACAGTTCTGCTCCCTGCTTTGGGTCCCCAATCAATCACTCAGGGCGCAGCGAACGACAGAGAACAGCAACGCAATTATGTCGGGCAGACTGCGGCCGGCCGGGTGACTCAGCCTGAGTGATTTGATTCATTACTTTCCTAAACAGACTGATGAGCTGTAAGTGAATTTAAAGCACAAACAAAGCTGCCTCAGAGCTCCTCAGCCAGGCTGAGAGGCTTTCACAAGAAGGCAGAGGCAATTTTATGCAGCAACATATTTTCTATTGATCTATAATAGTAATAATAATAATAATAAAAAACAGAGTAAGATGAGAGCTAAAGAATAACAAGCACACATCTCAGTCGTTGAAGAACGAAAAGAGCCTGCAGTGAAGACCGAGACTCAGAGCCTGTGTTGCTATTTTTATGCATGATAACAAGATCCATAAACTCTGCTGTCCATATTTCTGCACAGTGCAGTTTTTCTTTTTATGCTGACCAGCACAATGTGTGCACTGTGTAGTGAGTCGGTCCTTTAACTGTGTGAAGCGTTGGACCTACTGCAGGTCTTTTTCCCGTCCGGGCCAAGAAAACGACCGTCGAACATGATCACAGGAGGCTTTGTGTGAAGGTTTGAGCAGACGTCTGCAGATTTTTTTTTTTTTTTTTAAATGGAAAAAAAACACAAAAAATCTGAGGCAAAACACAGTTCTTCTTTTGCAATTTGAAAAGTAAAATAAAGAAAAAAATAGGAAGCATGTTCAAGCTGGAAGGCTGTACAAAATATTTGTCATCTGGTGGGAACGTGAAGAACAGCAGCCGCTGTTGAAGATTTACGCAATTCAGCTCAGTTTTTCGATATGTGAACAGCTTCCAACATATTGCGTCTCAAGGCGCCTCATCGGTCCCGTCATACTGACGTTCTAACTGATCCCAGCCATCAAGCTGTGCACCAAGTTCAGTTTGTTCTTCAAATAGTCTTAAAAAGTTTGTCTGTCTAAGGCAGTCGAGCAGATTGCCTGGAGCCGTTGACTACTGGGCATGCGCGTGAAGGCAGCGAAAAAGAAAACTCCCCTTTAACGGGAAGAAAGCTCCAGCAGAAGCAGAGCGGCCATCTGGGCACTTGAGCAAGCAGAGTGAGTAATGAGACCTAGAAGCACAAGCAGTGTGTTGTCTGAAAAGTGAAAGGTTTTCCACCAATTAGTTTTTTTCTCTTTCCCCCTCTTGACATAATTCTTTCTCGCAGAGTGTTCTTCTGCCTCCTTTTCCACTCAGTCTCCCTCTGGGGTTGCCCGTTTTCTCGCCTCCCCCGTTTTCCCTCCAGCTCATTTTTGCCCTCGATGCTGGTAACCCCCTCTGATCTGTCTGTGTTTTCACGCCCTCGCCTGCACATTTCTGCTCCCCCTGAAGAATGTAAAGAATCGGAGCGCGGCGTCCTCCCTCTGCAGCCGCGAGTGGAAAAGCTGCAAACTTTGCTTCTGTGAAAACCGTGCATCTAACAGTCCCTCTGGATGGTTTTCTGTTTTCCTTCCATGTCCAAATTATGCTCTGCTTTTTAATTGGACTTTCACATAAAATCCCAATGAACCCAATCGAAGCTTCTGACATAACATGGCCTATCACGATAACTAATTTTGCTAGACAATAAATTGTCCTGGACGTTACGGCGATAAAGGAAAATATTGTTTTGAGGCCATTTTCTAGTAAAGACACAATAATGCAAGAATGCATTCTCAAGGACCAATAACCTTTAAATTCTAATGAACCTCTAAAGACCGGAACTGGAAGACATTTTAAATATACAAAATAAATAAAGAAATGAGCTGAAACCACAAACAAAATGAATTATAAAGTCTCTGCATGCCAATTTGTCTTCCAAAAAAGGCGCCAAAACAAACAGACTGGACACTTTTATCACTCAGGTTTTGGTAAAAAAAGAGAGGGAAAAGAGGAAAACGATAAATCAAGCATTTGAAAATGATGTGAGTTTCTTTTCATTTATCATGCGATTAACTGATTTAAAGTTTGGCGTTTGGCCCTCGGCTTTTCAGTTAATTAATTTGGGGATCTCCTGGTGTTTGGCCTGCTAATGTCACTTGTTACGCTGATGATAGATTTGTTTGCATCCTCTTTTTGTCTTCTTGACTCATTATCGCCTGCAGCCGACGACCCCTTGTTACGGAAAGAAAAAAGAAAGAAAGAAAGAAAGAAAGAGCAGCCCTGTCTTCAGATGTACCGGGACAGAAATGTTCCTGTCTAAATTTATTCTGGGGGTTCAACAGGATATTCATGGCAGGACGTGAGACACAAGGTGCTGAAATCTTCCTGAGGATAAATCTCAGCCAACGGGATGCAACAGAGGAAGAGGAAAACGGAAAAATAAAAACATATAGGATTAGCTCACCTCACGTGGTAGACAATTGGCTGAAGCGGCCTCAAGTATGAAACAAGAGGGACGACATTTTGTTATATTTGACCATTTTGAACTCATTCAGCGACTTCATGAAACAAAGAAAAATACAATGGCATACGCAAGGATCTTCAGTCACTTGGCACATCGAGACCTTTGAAAAAGAAAAACCAAACTTCATCTCAATTCAAACGGCTCTCCCTGAAAAGAAAAACATCTAACTTTTGGGTCTCTATCTGAGGAACTCCCACTCTGGATGTCCCTGTTTTTCATTCCCGTGCCTTGGGGATACGGTTGTCCTGCCAACAGTTCCCTCCTTCCTTTATCCCCACGCGAGAAAGAGGATGCCCGGCTAAAAATCAAATACAGTCTATATGCATCGGAAAGGCTGCAAAACATATTTTTAATAATACATTTAGAAATCCAAGAATGCAAAAATGAATAAATAACTTAACCTATTCAGTTATTTGGATTACTGTGTCATTTTGCCATTAAAATGAGTAAGTGCACCAGGCATCTGTCTGTTCTGATTAGATCTGTTGCTGGCAGAGTGACCGATGGTCATCCGTCTACTGGAGAATCAACATGTTCATCACTTCAGCTAAACACACAGACAGAACTGGACCCCGCATCCTGTTTGAAGGCTGGGGTCATGATCTTCATTTGAATTTCTAACTACAAGCTGCACTTGCACACAGACTCAGAGAGGAGGAACGTGGCGCCAACAAAAACCAGCAACAATTTCTCAACAGTTCTTTGAACAACGCTGCCCTCTGCTGGCGGGGAGCGGCAATCACAATAACTGTTTTTAAAATGGGTTTATTGCAGCAATTAGAACAAAATGCGTTCGTGTTCTCATAAAAGACGCAATAAACCCAGAAACAATAAAAATCTACAAAATTCTTACAAATATATTTTTATAAGTTAAAGGTTCGTGCCATCTTAACTGTGTCTATAAAATCTATTCATTCCTTTACAAATCCATCCTGAACAACAAAATTCAACTTTTTTTTTTCCACTAATATTTCAATAAATGTCAAAACAAGTGATTGCACAAGTATCCAGTCCTTCATGTCAGTATTTAGATGCACTTTTAACTACAATCCCAGCATGTTATGCTGAATATGTCACATCTGGAGACTGCAATGTTGTCCCATTCTGCTGAAATGCTGCTAAAGATTTTTCTATGGGACTGAGGGCTTTGACTAACCCCCAGACATCTTTGTTTTGACAAAACCGTTTCCTTTTCTATGTACTTTCACCTGGATTATTGTCTTTCTGGAAAATAAAGAGTTCTCTGGAGCAGTTGTCTATTTTTTCTCCGTGTTAATCTTTTTTTGGGGGGATTATTTTGTAGAAATCATATTTTATAGCAGTACTCGGGGAAACCTCCACTCTACACCCTCAAATATGTTTGAGACAGATTGGTTAAAGTTAGGCTAGTTAGACCAGAGGGAAAAAGGCGAGTGCATTGATCAGAGGAGACCAGGTCAAGAAACACAAAGTGAACCATAAAACAAGTTGGTGGAAAAAACTTAGTCACCAGGCTAATTGCTCCTTAAATGAATCCACTCAGAGCATTTTTGTGGTTTTAATGTTTGCGGCGATTCATTGTGACACTAAGCTGCAAATGAACAGCTTGTTTCTCGTCGTTTCAGAAGTCGAAACCATCTTGGATTTTAACGAGGGCAGTTAAAATCCAAATCAAATAGTTGAGGCGTTTATCCGGGCGCGAGCCGCTGAGTCACAAAAACAAGTAGAGAAATACAAATAAATCCTGTACTTTTCCAGTCTGCTGCAGAATCCGGTACAGAGCATGTGGGAAAGTTTGGAAGCACTTGGCAAAGAGCCGAATTATTGAAGCGTTAAAGTTTTTCTATGAAGCAGAAGGACATTTACTACCATTTCATAGGTTTGATATTCACAATTTATTCATTTTTAAATAACAGATCGCCATACAAAAAATACCTTTATTGAAAATTAAATAATTTGCTTAAAACAAGCTTAATTAACACGACTGAAGAACATCCTCACACATACAGTACAAGTACATCTGGTTTGGTGATCATTTTGGACTCCTGTGCAGAAGGTTCTGACTGTGGCAAGTAAAAAATGTTTGGGTTTTAGAAAAGCAAGTATGATGTGAAAAGTCTTTAGTTTGGAAACATTCAACTGGATTATCTGAGGTGAGTCTGAGGAAAAGGAAAGAGGGCAACATAAGGTAAAAGCAAGACATGATCTAACTAGAGAGCGTGAAAGAAAAAACAGAAGATAGTCACAAACCATGTTCCCTCTAATTTTTTATGTGTCTGGGCGTACACACAAGCTTCCTGGGCACACTGAGGACCACTGTGAGCATCATCAGTGTGCACAGCGTGGCCATGCACAAGTATCATAAATCTGGGATCATAGAAAGTTGCATGGCTTATTTAAAAAATCAAATTACATCAGCAATTTTCATTCGTTTGCTTTTAATTTAAGTGATTTGCTCAATTAAAATAAAAAAGAGAAAACATTGCTGTCCATGAGATGCATGCTTTAAGTAAGAGTCCTGCTTCAGCCAGGGTGAGAAATGAGACATCACACCTTTCAGACATAAATGTTTGTTCATATTAAAACATTCACATTTTGCACAATGCAATGTTTTCTGTAGCTTGTGATGCAGTATAAATTCTTGTAAAATATTTAATTAGTTTTTTTTTCACGTCTGCCCTTCTCGCTTCTCACGTCTTCTCACTTCTCCAGTGGTTGAATTCAGCATATTGACTGATAATGGCCTCCATAATCTGTGGGTGGAGGAGAATGGCCTCATACTTCTTTGCCAGTGTACAAATGTCTGCTTATCCATAGTCAAAAATCTGAACTCAACATTTCAATATCAAATGCAGACCATTCCTTTCATTTGATTTGATTCCATTTGATCTTAGAAGAAGTGCATTTCTTTTTTTTTTTTTACTTTGGCTTGGTGAGTGGATGTCCCACGTAGACATGATAAGGTGATGGCTTTCACGTTTCTTAACTCTACTGCACTATTCTCACCTGCACTGCGCATATGACCAAGGCACGTAACCCACGTACACACGGCGATTCACACACTTTCGCTTTCTGCGTAGCGAAAGTGAACCGTATCGTATCATTGGCTGGATTCCTGTCACTCACTGAGTTCGATCGCAAAGTAGTACGGAAATTTTTTTTATTGGTCCATAGTCAAAACTGATGTCTGAGCTCAATGTCCACTTTACGTTGGACTTTATTTTATGCGCTACATAGATTTTCTTGTGCGCTGAGAATATGTGAGCAGTGCGCGATTGCGCAGGCGCGCAGCTTAGAGGGAACATTGGTCACAAAGAAATTCCCTAAAATGTATGACTAGGACACCAAGTAAACATGTCAAGTAGCCACCAACTGTGTTCAGAGAGATAATTTAACCAATTATTGATAAAAAAAAAGATTAAAAATGTGCTTTTACTTGTATTTAAACTATTTTTAAAGCATGAATGTTGATTCTTTAGCTCTTTTTAGTGTTTCAATATTTAACGTAGACAGAGACAATCACAGGCGACAGCTATGTGGGGATTCGAAGCAGCGAGAAAGTGAATATGATGATCATCAGACTATAATGGTAAAAACACAACCAGTTCTCATCTAGAGACATCAGTTTGTATACAAAGCATCGACAAGTCTGAGTTTGTCACCCTGACCAGCAGGGGGAGCTTCTTTAACGGAAAATAATGTGAGGTTTGAAAGGATGGGATCAGCTTTGGACTGAAAATGTCATTTCAGACATTTTCTATCAGAACCCTAACAGAGAAAAACACTTGCATCTGCATTAACATGTTGTGCACAGTGCATTTCTTCTACTTTCCATTTAGCTGTAATGATCATCAAGACAAGATGCAGTATTCCTATAAAAAAAAAAAAAAAAAAGTTAAGCAGGAAAAAGCACCAACTCTAAAGCGGATAAGATAATAGATGAATCTGGACCATTTTAGAAAAAAGAAGAAGAAAGAAAGAAAAAAAAGAATCAAACCAGTAAACATTTCAGAGTCAGCTTCGTGATGGGATGTCATCGTAACCATCTTTTGTCAGACATTCTGGTGGAAGGTTTAGCACTGATTATCGACTCATTATAAATAAAACCCCCAATAAAATTCACATCCGGGCTGTTTTCAGCCTTTGGATTCCTCCAGCTCGTCTTCCTTCCTGCTGAGCGAAGCAGAACCAGGCCACCGTTTTATCCAAAGACCCAGTCTGCTGTAACACAACGTCCAAAAAAAAAAAAAAAAAAAAAAAAACGTGAAAGCAAAGCATCTCCAATACAGACAAAGTGAAAACACCTACGGATTTGTGTAACAACTCTTTCTGATCAGATAAGCGACTCATTTAAAAAGACATACTAATAAAAGTCGTGCTGAAGCTCTGCTTGGAGTGTCATGTTAATACTTCAGGGAGGATAATGGGAATAGCAGCATAGTTTAAGCCTCAAGGAAATAATAACAATAAAAAAAAAACTGTGTTGGCCGGGATTGTGTTTTCTAGCCGGTGAACCCGTTCCGTTTGGTTGGTGCTTTTTTCCACCAATACTTCCTATAACCTTCTCCACATTAATACAGCATTGAGATCCTCCATTGTGGAGTTGACAGTGTTTAAGCAGTACAAAGCATTTATAAATAGCTGTGACATAAATATCCATTTTTGAAGACATTCACTTTGAAAGAAGCTAAGCTAGCAGAATTAGCTTGAGGAAGTCAAAATAATATCCTACTCTCCCACAACTTTATGTAGTCTTAACTTAAAGCTGCCAATTTTTTATAATGACCCTCTTTATTATAAAAAAACAACAACACACAAACCCCAAAGCATGTCACTTTTTGGGGCCAGACCGAGCCAGCTGGGTCCCTTCGGTCTGATCATTGGCAGTTGAGATCAGGTCGGTTGAGCCAGGACCAGATCTGGATCATCTCCTGTGGCGTCCTGGGGTGAACCAGCATCAAGCTCTTGTACGCGCACGGGTTCGACCGGTACTTCTCCTCTATGTTAAAGGTCCGGAATCCTTTGTGCTTGTCCGGTGCGAGCCCCAGCTTCCGGAGGCACATCCCGGTGTAGACATCGTCGATGGGGTAGAGTGCCACGTGTTGCGAGATGTTATGCAGGCGGGCGGCGAGGTCTCCGGAGTATAGGTAGCCCCCTCCTCCTGCATATGGCGGGTACGTTCCGGTGTACATGCTCTCTGGGATGAAGTACTTGACTTTCTTGTCCCGGTGGGGCCCCGCGTTGGTGATCACGTCACCCACAAACAGATCCCTGGCTTTGGGCCCTGACAAACCCTTGAGAAAGTCCAGGATACGGTAGGTGTTGACAAAGACGTCGTCGTCCCCCTTGAAGATGTAACGGGCGCCAGAGCAACGGGTCTGGATCCACTCCAAGAAGAGGAGCTCCTTGACCGTCAGGTTAAAGAAGGAGTCTCTAAAGTCCCACTGCACTATGTCCTTGTGTTGCCGGCTTTCGTATTGCAGCATCTCGGACAGATCTGGGTGGTGGTCCACTGCTGTGGTGTTCCCCAGAAGGAAGACAGTAACCACTGTCATGTTGGCGACGACACCTGCTGAGCCCCAGGATTGACGGATGGCCTGGCGTCGGTCAAAATGCGGCGCCAGGGACTTGACAGCAAGGAGCAGGAAAGGGGGGTTGTTGCAGATGTCGGGCTGGTCCATCAGGATGGGGTAGGACCGGCAGCGCATGTAGAGCAGAAAGTCCTTGAAGCGGTTTGGTAGAGAGTTGTAGTCTTTAATCTGAGTTCTGACCCCGAGGTTGGGTTGGCAGGGATCAGAAGGTAAACTGGTGTCGTTGAGCCAGTCGGGCAAGTCTGCAATGCTGGAGTTCAAGGTGATGATGGGATTGTGTTGAAGGTCCACGATCTGCTGCTGGCGGTTCCAGTAAGGGGAGCTGGGGGCCAGCTTGGTCCAGAATGGATCGGTGGGAACAGTGGGCTTCCGACGGCCATCTTTGTCTGTGCCGCTGTTACGGGAGATGAGGATGACGATAAAGAGGTTGACCATCGTCACCGTCACCATAAGCTTTAGGTTCCAACGCAGCAACGCCATGGCAGTCTTCCACCGGACACCACCTACAGAGACGGGAACAGAACTGCAATCAGTTGGGGAAAACTCACAGCATCAAAGAACTGTTTAGTTTCAGGAAGAAAATATGCAGAAGCAACTTCAATATGTAAAAAGGGACATAATAGGAAAGCAAAATGTACAAACTACACATTTTCTCTTCCACCCCCAACAGCCCTCCTGGGGTCTTGAACTGGATGGACCCCACAAGATCTTTACTCTTTTACGTAGTTTTGGGAACTGATAGACTGACGATGGCCCCAGCCTCCCCTATCCGACCATGACCAAAGACTGTAGGAGAATTAAATACAAGACTGGAAGCAAAATTTAAAGACATATCAATGTGTTCTCTTACAGGAAACAAGCCAATATATGCCTGAAACTTAAAGCATTAAATATTTAGCATTTTAGAGGCTACAAAGTCAAATGTTACACATTTACAAAAAAACAAAAAGAGGTAGACTGGCTGCAGCTGTTAGCCTGTCGCAATAATCTATTAATCAGATGATAAATTGAAATGGTCTAATTTCCATTTTGATTATTCATATTTTTTGTAGGGCTTCACAACTTCATAATCCATTTAATTTATGGTTATGGTTGTGTGTGGTTTTTATTTCCCATTTAATTTATTATTATTATTATTTTTAATCTTCCTGTTTTTTAAATAATTCAAGTTTATGGATTTCTTCAAAATGACAAGTAGACAAAACATTTGTGAAATGAATTCATCCCTCACTTATACTATAAATAACATTATTTTTGCATTGTTATTGCCGTTTTTGCCCCTTGTCTGCATTATTCTTTCCTTCCCATCCCATGCAGTTCCTGTATCCAATACAGGAAACTCCACCTGGTAGAAATAATGCATTTACCATTAATTGATCCATTGTATGTCTACATTTACCTCCCTGTCAGATAATTTATTGATGTATTATTATTACTCGTTTAATTGCTTCACATACTGATAGTCTTATTATTGCTCTCTCTCACACACAGAGTTAATAATCATTCATTAAAACACAACATTTCCTGTTTATTTTACTCATGCACTGTATCTTGTACTCTGATGTACAATAAACCTTTTATTTTTTTATCATGAACTTGCATACTTGACAAAGGTCTCAAAACAACATCATTGCTTACCGGAAATATTGCATTCAGGCATTTTTTTCCATAAGACCTTTTTTGAAACAGAATTTTATTTCATTTTTTTAATTTAGTGAATTTTTTAGAGACATCTGGTTCCATTTTCGCTACAAGCCGAAAGCAGAATGAGAGCTGCACGTCATCACAATGCTTGCCTGCTTGTTCTGGGTCTCTGTTGGCACCTGTGAGGGACTGGCAATGAATCAAGGGTGCACCCTGCCTATCATTTCCTGAACCTATGAGATAGAGACCAGCCCAGCCGAATGGTGTGGTCACACCAAACGGGTTTTGAGTGTGATGCGTGTCTGGTTTACAGTCAAAGTCTATGTGGAGGCACGTTTTGAGTGTCTAATGCAAGGCAATTTGGACCATTAAAGACTAGATGAAATATGTTTGGAAGAAAAAGATTTAACCAGGTGTTTTTGTCGCTTTTACGCTCACTACTAAACTCCATTACAGGAAATGCTCATTTACAGCTGAAACCAGAATGTCACATATTCCAAATAAAGACATCCTTAGATTTTACCAAACTGCTATTGTTTGTGATCAGAATGACTAAAATAATTTCCATTTGCAAAATGCCACAATAATGAAAAACAAAACAAAAAACTCCAGAATTCCAGGAAACTATTGTGAGAAACTTGTGGAAGGAAACTAAAAACATCCGACCCAAGTCATACAGTGTGAAGGCGATAGATTTTGTCATCAATATATAAATTTGACATATTCTCTCATTGTGGCAATTAGCAAATACAAATTATCATGTAACTTACATGAAATCAGAGCAAACTTTTCTTGATATAGGTTAGACAGTGATGTTTTAACAACACCGTGACTCTTCTGCTTACCAATCAAGGCAAACAGAGAGCACTCTAATGCTGGAGTACATAGAAACAAGTACCAGCTTCTTTCTCAAACAGACTTTAGTGGGATGGTGGAAGCCTGTTTTACTAAACCAAAAGTTAGTTAACACTATCTGTTCATTTAGCCCCTAACGCCTCCTTGCCCCCTCGATCATTTGGCCCGCAAAGATGTTTACACACATCTCACTTTCCAGAGAAAAAGACGTTTTTGAGAACAACTGGTCAGGCTTACATGCAAAGACTGAAGGAAACAGTCTTTGCACGTAGTTTATTGAACATAAACCAGTCAGTTTACTTGTAATTTATCTTAAAAATAATCACAGCTCGTCATTTAGGGAGAATCGTGATGATCCAGCAATAAAGTGCCTGCAGGTTTTGTTTTGCCTTATGCTTGCTGCATTTCCACATATTTTTTAAAATTTAATATTAGAAATACAATAAAATTAAAAGTTCGATTTTAAATAAGAAAACAATTTTATTGTCCAAAATACAATCATATTTTTGTAGTAAATCTTAACCAGATGATGAACTTTGTGTTTGCAAATGTTGACCTGCAAACACAAAATATATGTTTTGTACAGTTTTGGCTTTATTACTATTCCAACTATGTTCTTTCAGCAAATGACATTTTTGAGTCTGTATGCTCCAATTAATTAGTCTATTTCTAAATTTGTTGACGATTACTAAATTAGTTAATTATCTTAACTGTGATGAATCGATAATTGTAATAATTATTTTAGCCCGACTACACAATTTGTTTTTATGTCATTATGAACATGACAATAGGAACCTTAACATGTTTCGGATTGAACTGCAAATATTTCAAAATGGTTGGAAGAAAGGAATTAGACTGGAAAACTTTCATAATAGTGAAACTGAAGGAAATCTACCAATAGCAACCAAATCTTTCAAACTGGCTAAACTAAAACTGGGCCACATTTAATATACAATAATCTTAAATATAAATAATGATACTGCTATCAAGGTTAATAATAATAAGATTAAAAAGATTAGTAGAGTTAGATTAATTAAAATGTACCAGTGGGTTCACCATCTTCTGGCCCACTGCCTGAATACTTCCTGCCTGTGTATTATATTACACTCTCAGATTCCTAGCAACAACTGTGCACTGTTTTCTCTCCATTCTCCTTTCTGTGCCTCATCCAACCTATCTTTCTGCATGACACTTCTCCCCTTGATTTTCACTCAAATATAATACGACTGGAAAAATATGTACAACAAGGGTTTAAACGGTATCAGATTACCGACAGAGACGGGCAGAAACAAGCTCTCATCTGGTGACTCATTTTCCTGTCTTTTCCTCCTGGATAATTATGCTTTCCTGTCGAGTGCATCCCACACAGACACAAGGACTTCAGGGAAATGAGTGGGAGTGGAGGCTGGTTTGTTAATAAAAGCAAGTTTACCGACATGAGAAAGTTGGCATCAAAACAACAAGCTTGGCTCAGCTAGATGTTACAAACATAAAAATAGTGAAAAATATTTTCACTATTTGCACTTTCCTCAAAGTGCAAATATACTTTTAAATTTTGCTCTGCATTACTGTTGCAGTTTAAAAATATAGTAGAAAATTTTGCAATGAACATAGTACAGATGTTTGTCACTGCTCTCCTTGTTGATTTTTATTTCAGGAAAAATGGTGAAGCATGCTGTATTGCATTGCTGTATTTTAGGTAAAACATTTTTTATTCGGATTTAAAAAAAGAATTTAATTGTTTATTTACATCTTTTAATATATTTCTAATATTGTGTCAAGGAGGCTTCAGTGGTTAAATGAAAAATCTGGAGAATGTGCCAGTTTTTTTTGTATCAAAATAATCGTCAGAATAATTGATTAATCAATTGCTAAAATAATCATTAGCTGCATCCCTAATTGGTCCCCATTATTTCAAAGTGCATAGAAAAAACACCACATGTAAACATCTCTGTTGTCAAAGAAATCATCATAAAACGAACAAAATTGTTGCGCCATCCATTTTCTTACACCCTTGTCCCTAGTGGGGTCGGGAGAGGTGCTGCTGCCTGTCTCCAGCTAACGTTACGGGCAAGAGGTGGGGTCACCCTGGACCGGTAGCCAGTCTGTTGCAGGGCAACAGAGACACAACAAACAACTGAGCACATACACACACACCTAGGGAGAATTTAGAAAAACCAATTAACCTGACAGTCATGTTTTTGGACTGTGGGAGGAAGCCGGAGTGCCACGTATGCACAGGGAGAATAGGCAAACTCCATGCAAACTCTGTGCAGAAAGACGCCGGAACAGGAACAGAGCCCAGGACCTTCTGGCTACAAGGCAACACTTCTACCAACTATGCCACTGTGCAGCCCCATTGTTGTTCCAATAGCAGTAAAGTAAACCCTGTATCGTTAAAATAGTTCACATGAAATACTCTGATGGCTAAAACATTGAAAATTTAGCTTCTGATTATCCTTAGTTGTAATAATCACAACAACAATTTTATGATTTAATCAAAAAGTCATAACTGGGACCATGACTAATACAAACTAAGTATTAGTTTTGCTCTGCAATGCTGGAGAGCAGGATTGTAGCGCAGTAGAATGACTGAATCATCAGAATGTTAAATGATTAACAAGCCTGTCATTAACCAGAACAACCAGTATGGCGATCATTTCAAGTGACAGAAAGCACAGATGGATGTAAACTGAAGAGAAAAGGTGCCAATATTCAACCTTTTGAATGATAAATAGTCTGCATTTGTATAACGCTCTCTTTTCACCCGTATGTAATTTTAGCATTAATGTAATGTTTTTCAGTGTAAAATGGGAGACATGTAAAGATGTCTCCCATTCTTTAAATTTTTTTAGTTCAGTCTTGAACTAAAAAAAAAACTCCATCGGATCTGGCAGAACACCATAATTAAGAAAAAAAATTGTTTGTAATTCTTTAAACAATTACAGATTATGCAGCAATATTAGTCAATTTCATGACAAATAATTTAACTTTATTTACAGTTCGACCTCGCTGGACAGGTTTTCTGCTTCAGCTGCTTGTTGAGCAGATTTCTAAGATCTAAAAGAAAAGTAAGCGAGTCAAGTAATCAATTGTTACAAGTTAGTTTGTGGTCGTTTTATAGACGTGTCCCTAACAAATCACTTCATGCTACGATCAGCTTGAATACAGACAGCAGCTTTAGAGAGACGAGGCATCACACCTGTATGCTGGGTGTGGAGCACCAGGGAACAATGGCAGGTTGAAGACTTGTTTGTGTTTGAGCATCACTGAGCAAACACCCAAGCTTCCCCTTTATCAGTAAATAATCCCCTTCCAGCATTTATGTTCAGATTTAAATTAACTTTAGGAAACACCTGTTCTGTCAAAGAGATGAATTAACATACACAGTGAGTGATCTTACTAGTGCAGGTGAGTGTGCCTCTTCAGCTGGCGTTGTCTTGGCGTTTAGTCGCAGCCGTCTTACCCCATGCTTATCTCCACCCTCTGGGAACAAGAGCCAATGGGGAAAAAGGGTAGGAAGGTTGGGAAGGACCAGGCGAGGGGGACTAAACCTAAAAACACAGACAAGATGAAATTATTTTTGAAAACTACCTTATTTTGCATTTATCCTGTTCATGTACATTTTAATAAAGTCTCTGGACAGAATTGAAATAAGATAAGGTTTATCAGTATTAATCTTTAGCGCGAAGGTGTTCAAAGTAGAGTCCAAGGGCCTTTTGTGGCCCCTGGACTGATTTTGTGCGTCTCCCCAAACCACAATTCAACATTTAATTAAATAAATTAGTACAAACCTACAACTTCTAGATTAAACTCTACTTACAAAAATGTTACATGCAACACAAGGTGATCGTCTTTTCCAAGCTTTCTCGTTTCCTTCGATTGACATGGTAACTAGGACCACATCTAAACGTTGACTTATACTTTAAAGTCCACCTTGGCAGAACCAAATCTGGTTTTAATCGGTCTATTAACATTTGGCTAATGTTTTCAAATGAAGTACTTTTGACCCATGTGACAAAAATTTTGGACACCCCCTTAGTTAGAGCTTCTTTAATGAAACTGTAAGTCAATGATTGCATTTTAAGTTCAGCCTTAATCGATGTAAGTATAGAATTTGTAAGCAGTTCTTAGGCCTGTCACAATACATTTTGCTGGACGATAAATTGTCCCAGAAGTTTTTTGCGATAAACGATGATGTTTTGAAACCATTTTCAATAATGCAAGTACACCCTCTCAAAGATCAATAAACCATTATTTCTAAAAATTGTAATTTTGGAACTGGAAGACATTTTTTAAATATCCAAAATAAACAAACAAAACAATCAAATCAAGAAATAAATTAATTATGAAGTCTGAAGAAAATTGTTCTGGAGAAAGGGGCGAATTGAGATCAATCCGTCAGTCTGAAGACGTGGTGATAGAGAGAGACACACAAACAAAACAATTTTGCAAATGGAAACTATCGAGCTCGTTTTGATTCGTGACAGATTCATTTATCGATTTATTGCTTACTGTGACAGGCTTAGCAGACACTGACCATCCCGACCTGGAGGGTGCATTAGATAGCCATTGATCATTTCCATTAAACATAATCAGCTCTACCCAGGATGTTCTCTCTGGGTGGAGACGCTGCTTCCATCTTAATTGCTGAAAATCAGATTTCTGCAAAATTAATTCAATATACTGCAGAAGCCTCTCCATATGTGGATAAACATCCCGACAACACATCCAGGCAGCAGTAAGATGAAAACCTATCAAAATCTCACCTGATGCAATAGATCCATAATTTGAAACGGACACAACTCGTAATGTTGTACAGCTGGTTACTGGAGTGAAAAGATTGATTGCTGCATTTAATAGAAACAGTGTCTCAGGTGCTCTTCTCAAAACAGAGCAGACTTTTCAGGTCTATTGAACGTTCCCATTCATTTTCAGTTGTTCATAGACTTATATTATTCACTGAAGGGTAGAGCCGTTTCTGAGTTTCACTTCAATAATGCATGTTAAGATAAATATAAGATATTTATGCAAACAATTTTGGATCTTTAGATCAAACTGACATTTTCTTTAACGCATGTCCACAGAACAAAACCTGAACACCGAAATGTAGCTATGAATACAATGAAATTCACTCTAAATGTAGTAAAAAAGATCAATTTAATCTAATAATAAATACAGCTCCATGCTCAATTACGTACAGCTCAATTTAATCTAGGTTATCATATTTGTGACAGCAAAATAAAGAAAAAAAAGAAGGCATTTTAAGTAGGTAGGCAATTCATTATTCACTCTCTCCTTCCATTTTCTATTGATAACCATAAATTTAAAAAAAAGGTATTTGTTTTTGAATCACACAAAATTTTGTTTTTTCAATTTTAGTCTGAAGTCAAAAGATTGAAATAGAAAAATGAACAGTTGGACCGACTTTGATTCAAATATTTCATTGCTCAGGTTTACATGACCGGGCTTTACTTGCTCTCTCTACTCTCTGCAGGCTAAGCTTTGTTTACTTTCTGCAGGGTTTTTTTTTTATTAAAACACCAGGAACATTGGCAGTGAAAATGGACTAAGCTAGGTTTATGGTTGATGCATTAAACTGGATGGGAAAGAATGTGCACTAATTGCACCGCCCTGCACTAGTCTGCTGGTCTCAAACTCTGAAGTTAGGTTTCTCCTCATGCGCCTTAACCAAAGTTGCAAAACTTAATTTTGTAACAACCATTTATGTGCCCTAGTTTTCCAGGGAAAATGCTGCATGTTGTTGGTGTGCATTATTTCAACAGCAGGTATATTTGCCTTCACTAGAGAATGTGAAGGCAAGATCTCAGTTTGCCATGTTTTTGGTTATTGTGGATCCCTGTCAGCATCACAGCAATAAAGCATCTTTTAGAGGCCGAAGTGAAGGAAAACCAAAAAGTAAAGCAAACAAGCTCATACAGCCAACTGTTTTATGAGGGTTGCAGATAAGGCAGCACCAGTTCTCAGGCCTGTGTACTTCGCTGGAACAAGTTCAGCTTTTGCAGAGTGCAGATAAAGCACACCTAGCCAGCCACAGGAACCAAAGAGTCATGCAACTTCAACTGCACTGAAATGTCTGAGAAATTATTGACCATGAGGGCAAACATTTCAAATTGTCAAAGCTTTTTGGTTTAATAGTCAACTCTGCCTCTGCAGATCTTCTTCAGATGCAATAAGCTCCGACTAGGAACAGGCATCAAAGCTCCGGTTTGCAGTTAACTTTGCATTTCTCCCAGGTGTTGTGCATCACTGTCTCCAGGTACCTTACAGCAGAGATTAGTAGCTGGATCTCTATTAATTTTTTTTTTGCAAATTTCTTTCAAGCTGTTAGCAAATAAGGAAATCAAGTATAAGTGTGCCACACAAGTAGTTAATAGTTGTTTCATTTGACAAGAACAAGACTGCAAAAATGGAAAGTAAGTTAAGTTTAAATGTTGAGAACCATGTCAATTAGGGATGCAGTTTTCTGGCCAATCATCTATGACTGAACTTTAAGAAGCCTGACCTGCCGATACCAATTTTAGCACATATCAATTTTTTGTCTGAAATGTCGCTAAATGTAGCATGAAATTCACCAAGTTGATTTATTGTTAACTGCAAACATGCAGACATTACCTGGCCTGTCAGTCAAACATCTCTAACAGGAGAGCAGAAAAGTACATTGGTTAATATTTAGACCTTTGCTGAGGTACATAAGAGCGTAGGTTTAAAAAAAATATAAATAAATAAATAATAATAATAATAATAAAATAATAATCGGCTTCACATGCAAGTATCAGCCGATCACCAGTCATCCAAAATTAGGAAAATCAGCTCTAATAAATCGGTGCACTGTTGATGTCGATTAAAAAGTATAAACTTTTTAAAAATTAGTATATCTGTTTGAGGATATCTAGTAGCAGCTGATTGATAAGGGCCACCATTTGTTTTTGTAATTTTTGTTTTCAAGCAATTATGGTAAAATGCTTCCCAACATTGAGCAACAGCAAATTTGCTTAGAGAAAAGCAAATGGCCCGAGGACAGACACCTGACGTTAAAGTTACAACATGCAAAAGTAAACAAAGTGTCTTCATTTACATAGAACCAAGCAGAAAACATAAAGCTTTTGCTCACTGTGCTAGTATCCTGGGGGGAATTATATATAGGCAAATTTTCTTTCCCCATCCTCTTTTTAAAAAAAAATAAATCGCATCTAAAAAACATCTACTTTTATTTTACTGATTTACTTAAAATGGCGTACTTCTAAAATTACCCACTGAACTTTTGACTGACGTCCTCCAATACCACAAAGGGAAAAAAAACCCCAAACAAAAACAAATTTAAATAAAGTTGTCAAAAAAATATGAGAAAAATGCAAAATTTGAAGCACTGCTGATAACTGCATATCTGAAAGAAGTCTAAAAAATATATACAAAAAGAAACTACAATTGATTTTATTTAAAAAAAATCAAAAAACTGAGTGGTTACATTTTTTAATCAATATATTTTTGTCAAAATCAGAAGGCACAAAAGCTGAGAGAATTTACTTGAACAAATTTAATTTATTTAAACGACGAGTCCTGCCTTACCTCATACAAACGCATGATGTAAATGCCTAATTGAGGTTGTGAGAGATATTTTGAGCATTACTTGGGACCGGGAGTGGTCAGAGGAGGACAGAGTTTTAGTGAATAATAGTGACATGGCGCAAAGTCCAGAGCTCCATAAATAGTCTGAAGGCTGCAAGTGAAGAGGGGATAACTGGTCAACAAGCATCTAACGTAAAACAACAGTATTCACAAAGAACTAAATGTCTGCTTTAGCTTTCATCAGACAAGCGAGATTAATTACTATGTTTATTCACTTTGTCTTTATTTGACAGGAAGCCATAAAACACAGGAACAGCTGTTTAGATTAGAAACTATTTGACTTCTTTATATTTGTTTCAAAGTAACAGGATGTTCTAATTAGGTGAAGGAGGAATAAATTAAGGCGACCAACACCACAAAATAGTGATGAAAGAAACGTGCCGTCACCAATGAAGTGGTTTTCAACCCGAAAATAGAAAGGAATTTCTCATCAACAAATACTTGTGACTGACTCCCCACTCTAAAGGTCACCTCTCCCTTTGTGACTCATTTACTTGCCCTCAATGCAATTTAACCCTTCGACAGAGGTAAACCAGGCATGTTCACACAAGTTATCGTTTTACTGGGTTAACTCGAGCACAATTAGTCAAAACCAATTAACCGAGGTTTAAATTGATAAACACAAACCGAAAAAGAAGAACAGCAACACATTACAGAGGTGTGAGCTAGATTTTTCCAAATTTGGAAACTGAATGAATATTTCAAATCAAACTACTTCTGTTGAAAGAAACTTAATGGAAACGACATTGTTGAGGCTGGTGCCAGCCTCAACAGTGGCTGACCTCAAAGGTTTGTGATAACTCAGGTCATTTGATAACTCAAGAGGGCATTTTGCCCACTCTGAGCCATGTTGGAAGATTTCTGAGTTTAAATGACACGATTACAGTCATACTTTGTACAATATCCGAGTTGGATTAAAGTCCAGACTGTGGTATAGCCACTCCAAAACTGTATTTTAGTCATTCAGATGTGTCCTTAGAGTATTTTTCCTCTTGCTTATTGAAAGTGTGCCTGTGTACAAGTCAAACTTCTGTGAGAAACCAGAAACCAAAACATGGTGATGCAGAACAGCAGAATGATGTCTCTGTTGGGCCTTGTAAGATTATTACCATTGTGGGCTATTATTGGCTGAACTGATCATGCACATCCTCAGGAACTGAAAACAGGAAGCCTGTAGCAGACTGAGGAAGATCCTAGATATGGCTACAATTATGCACCAACCATTTATTGGTCAGTTTCTATACACTGTATTTTACTGGTCTTTCATCAACATATGTAAATCATATATCCACATGAAGTTCCTCAGACTTTGTTGCCAGTACAGAGGACAGAGAAGTATGTAAACCTTAAATGTCTTTGCGAGCATTCTGGGTGACGTCAACATTAAATTACAGGAACATTCCTACAGAGGGGTGAGTTACGATATATTCAGTTCCCCAAACAGAATGATACAACAGTCAAATCCTGCACGCTCAGTCAGGATGATGCAATACATCTAATGAACAAGGCACATTTTTTACGGGCAAAAAGAAATGTTTCCTGATCAAGCACCAACATCGTTACTGCATGCCAAGATACATTTACCTTGGTTTCACATTTATAGGGTGATATTTGTTTTCGAAGCTCATTATGTCATTTTGTAGCACAATCAAGTAAATGTTATCTGCAGTTGTAAAAATGAAGCATGAATTTGACTTGGCAACTTGATGCCATTAAAGTGAATTTACAGTGATCGGGACTGAAATCTGTATCATAAGTCAGACTCAGTACCTGTGTTTCTGTTGACTGTATAATTGCAGGAATGTGATGTATGAAAATAGATTTGCTTAAAGGAAACATGACAAATTTTGGGGAAATCCCCAGCCTGAAAAAAATTTGCCCTAGGATGACTGTATCAAAATTAGCATAGCTCACAAAACTGGAATGGAAATGCTAATGTCCATCACATGAGTCATGTGATCAACAACCAGATGTCCCTCCTGGCACAAACAACAAAGAAGACGACAGAAAGTGGTACGATGATGATGATGGCGCAGCATGTTTGTTAATATCATCATATGAACAAACTTATTCCTTTCCCGTGTGATTTTTAATCTGGTTTCTTATTTAATGCCAATTGTAAAATTGTGTTTGTGTATTTTTATTTTTATTTACATTAGTGGCAAGGTTTTACACACATCTTTAATGAAATGCAGTTACAGATAAATTGTCAGACTATGAACAAAAAAAAAAAAAAAAAAACCCTAAATTATAACAAGCCATCAACTACAATATCCAAGAAGTCCTTTTGTGATGACAATATTGCATACTGATATTTTGATGGCAATTTGATACACTGCTCTGCAGGACAATCAAAAATGCATGTGAACCTTCTCTATTGATATTTCTAAAGTAACTGCATCAGATGCAAAGATGCAGTTACTTTGCATCTGAAGCACCAAAGTCAAGCACAGCTCAGTCAGCATGAACAATTAACCCGCCTTTGACATCTGTGCTAATGTTTCTTTTATGAAACTGAATCAAAATTTCATATTAAACATCATAGTTGCAAAAAAAAAAATAAATAAATAAGGCAGTTATGCTTAAAATAATATTTTCTATGCATATTGCTTGAGAAAATATATTGCAATTTACTAGCTGGCAGTAAAAAGATTATTCTGCAGTTTGCATGAGCAGGAAAAGTATAGATATATGTGTTAATGAGAAAGTGAATATAGTTCAGACCTAATGAGATTCCAATATAATTGGAAACACCCATGGGGATCACCAAGACTCCCCATTTAACAAGGACTGAAATTGATGACCTTAAAATTAGAGGAGAAATTATACATCTAAAAAATAAATCTAGAGAAAAGGGCAACCTTATGTTAGCTGTGGCACTTAAAACGCTTTACACCTCAGCTGGACACCCACTACAGATTAGATGAGGATTTTATTTTCTACAGAAGCATTTGGCCTGATGTCAAGTATTATTCAACCTGCAACATTAGGTTGAATTATAAAATGATCCAGCTGACAAAACGCTCCATAAGTCAGACTGTTCTTCACTCTAAACTAAAATATAAAGTACTTGAGTGTGAACTGTATTCAAAAGGGCATTTCTGAAAATATCTTTCTTAAGGTCCCATCAGTTTACAGTAAAGGACCAACATTAAAAATTGACCAAAACAAAGAACATGTGCTTTCAGAAACTAATTCTTCCAGGCATGAATTTAATCTCACATACCCATATTTCTACTTTCTCCAAACCGGCCGCAAATAGTTAGTCCAATCCTTTAATAAGGCTCTATTTATTTTAAGCTTGGACTTGCTCCAGGTTAACAAACAACTCGGGAAAGTTCAATTTTAGCATCTGGATGATTCACAAAATAAAATGTATCTGGGAGACAGGAATGTCTTGCTCTGGACAGATTTTTCCTTTTAGCATTTTTAAAGGACAATTTTGTCCCCTACTACTCCCATTTTAAACCAACAAACAAATCCTTTCAGACACAACATCCTGGTACTGACTGTGTATTTCTTTGCTAAAACAAAATAGTGGTACTAAAACTATATAAAGACTTAGCAACAAAAAGACCTGCACCCTGGAAACACCAAACCAGGTGGAAGCGACTTCATATGACAAGTAATAAGTTTAGACCCAAGTACCTAAACTGACTGAACAAAAAACATTGCATGATTACTATAAAATTAGACTTTATAGAAGGAGTGACGACCAAGAGCTGGCAAAAACAATAGTTTTGTTTTCCACTAAGCTCGTTTGAACCAAAGTAACAACTGATGCACAGCAGCTACACTTCCACACATTTGGCAGTAGCGTAAAAGAGTTCATCACGTCAAGTAACGTGCAAAAAGATTCACAGAAATCTACGAACTATCCAGAACAGAAACCCCATTTTAAAAATTGCCTTTTTGTCGACACTTCTAGTTGCTCTACATACACAGGGTTCGTTATCTGTTGTTGCTCAATAACCCAGTGACTTCTAAGTGTAAGTGGCTTCGTTTCGTGCCAAGCAGATGCGAGGCAAAGTGAACTCAAGATGATGGCCAAGCGTTTGTGTTTCTGCGTCTCAGCAGCGTCGCTATAGAGATGACACACACGTCCCTGAACAGAAACGTGTCGCAAAACGACTCGTGGGATTATAGAAACTTCAATTCTTGGATTTTCATAAATAAATAAATGAATAAATAAATGAATAAAAAGTCGAGTTAGGTGACAAAGTTTTGTGTTTTTTGTTCAATCTTTGAAATGCGGCAAAAGAGAATTGGATCCAGTTACACACCACGTTAGAAACCAAGTCAGATGCTTTCACAATGTGACTTCAGTTTCTATCTTATCCGAGTGTTTCCAAGTTTTCTTCTTCTCCTTTTGCCAAGTTAAGTTGCTGTGATATAGCAAAACAGAGCTGACATACAACCATTAATCTTGCCTGTAGGTTTAGTAACTCCTGCTTGCGGTAGTTCCCTTTTAAAGGTAAAGAACAGGTTAGCTAACCACTGTAAGAGTCGTCATGAAGTAACGATTACAAGAGCAAAACTCGACCAATGCGGGTTAACTCACCAGGTCTCCGCCGTTTGCTTCTCTACAAAAAGTCTTCTAAAAATGGCGGGGGTTGGGGGGTAAAATTAATCCATAAGTCTCTCCGCTCTCGCCTGTTGCCCTGTTTGGCGTCTCCCTGTTCCCCTCTGCTCGCCTGGACATCGTCTGCAAACGAACTTTCAGAGTCGCTTCAAAGGAAACTGCCGCGCACGCGCGCGTTCGTTCGTTCGCTCGCGCTTTTTCTCGCTTGCGCGCGCACGCGTGGGAGGGGCACGTACGAGTAGAGTAGGGGGAAGAGAGCTACCGCTAACATTTATATAGCCCTCTTAGGGACTTGACTGACTGAAACTTCATCCTGTTGTCCAGGTGCAGCCGCTTCAACTGATCACCACCGCGGTGGAGCCTGGGCGGCCCACGGTTAGAGCATGTTCATCATCTGAATGAGCAGAAGTGTTCTTAATAGGGGGGGGAAATAGAACAAAAAATTCAAACAACAAGTTAAGATTCTGGAAACACCTTTTTGTATAATCACGAGCGTCAGAGTAAGTGGGACTCGCTCCTTATTTCAGTAGCCTATTAGATTCGTGAGGTATTTGAAATCTATTTTTAAGCCTCTGACATTCTTGGAAGTGTTTCTAATGAGCTGTGTGATCTTATTTCTCTGGAAATCCCTTTGCCTTTCGTGGCTGGGGTCTTGTTTTTAAATATTATGAGTCATGTCTCTGACTATAGGTGAAGAGCAGAAAGCGGGCAGACCAGTAATCCAATGCTTCGCATTCCTGTTTAGCTTTTTTCTTCCTCATGACAAGACAGTAGTTGTTCCCACATTACTATCTCTGTTGATACCAACTCACTTGAACTTTAATGGGTTGGGTAATTGACCAAAAATTGGGTTGAGACTCAACCTAACATAAGGGTTATTATGCTACTGTTTCCTTATTTGGGTTAAAAAAAAAGGATTTATTTAGAATTTCAGCCTATAAAATAGGATTAAAAACTATCTGAATTTAAAGCTTTTTTTTTTTTACTTCTGTGTGATACATTTATAGAGCCAGCAGAATTCATTTACAAAAGTTACAAAACATAAAAACAATCCTTTTAAAAAAAAAAAAAAAAAAGTAGGCCTATATCATTAAATCACTTCAAGACATTATTTGGCTACAGCTCCAGAAGTATCTGTCGCTACACATTAAGAAAAGATTTGATGTAAAAAGTCTGGTAAAGGAGTATTTTTATCAACACTTTAGTGTTTTTGCCTGTCCGCCAGCATGAGGACAAACGGGGTCTATGCCACCAGGTTCGTCCAACTTCTTGTGTGCCACATTTCTTTTATTATATTCAACGCGAAGGGTTTTAAAGATTAAAAAGGACAAAAAGTAAACTGGATGTTTAAAATCGACGTGGAAAGATGTTTTCTTATTTACACCGGCAAACCCATACAATCACTTCAGCGAACGTCTCCGAACGAGCCAATGCAATCAGACACCAAAAGAAAAATCATTAAAAAAAAAAAATACACACACTGTGCTAAATTCAGAAACAGAGATTCCTTATTTGGGTTTGTTTTTCACTTTTGATACATTTAGAAATGTCCAGGTTCACAAAGTAAAGACAAAGACAATCTGGAGATCTGTGAAGACGAGTTGTATCTCAAAATATACTGTTAGGAAAATCCAGAAGTCAGCATTCGAGGAGCTAACCTTTGAACCTTTGGAAGTGTGGTTCCAGAAATCTGATCCAAAACAAACATGCGTATCAAGGAAGGCTCATCAGCTGATAAAAATGCATTTTGTGAGCAAAACGTTTTGTAGGTCTCAAAGCTAAGATTTGGGTTTAAAGCTATTACCAGTTCATGCGGGACATAAAATAATAAAAAATAACCGATTTAATTTATGTGCATGCCCGCTGTTTCACTTTTAGCTGAATCTGTGAAAAGATCAGTTATCTAAAGCATTGCTTAGACTCGGGTCGTCACAGGCCTTGGTAGCATAAAGCTGATTTCCCCCTGTGTTGTAAATCATCGACCTGCTTCTGGACCATGTTTCCAAAAATGTAAATGCAGAAGATTCATCCATATTTATTACAATTTAATCCATCCAGAACCTTTGCTTTTGTAGAAGAAAGACGATAATAAGATGTGGAGTATTTTGAGTCAATGCGCTGTACAGATATATTCTTGTGCGTGTTTTCCAGTGAGCGTCGTGGGACTTCAAAACAGCAGGAGGCCAGTCCGCCGGCCCTTTGTTGCTAATGACAGGGCAGAGACTTCAACGATCTGGTGGGTAGAATACCTCAAGCTTTTCATCTTTCTAACAAGATGCCTAACCAAACTCCACAAGCAGAAACAATGAGCACCCCCGCCTCCTTTGGTTCACGTTGAGTATCATTATAATGCACAAGCTCTCTCTTAATGGCTTTACTGGAAGTCCTCTTATCGCATTTTGGCCTTAAAGATAAGATTACTGTCTTAGTGAGGCTACTGTTTGGCAAAAAGTTCATCCAGGTGTTTCATGAAGAAGGAGAGGTGAAATACCTGTCACACACTCGGAGAGTGTTCCAAGGGAAATTGAAATTGTGAGTAAAATGCCACTTGGTCATGGCCCTGCAGTTTGAATATAAGTAAAAAAAGGAATAAAAAGAGTGACAGAAGTGGAAGAAGTACCAGGGTAAAAAAAAAAACAGTCAGATTACATGAAAAAACAAAATGAAGACATGAGAGAAGGTCAAAAGAAAAGAGTGAGGCATTAACAAGTTCACCATATGCAATTTGGATTCTCTTGGTTTTAGTTTCATGCATGTGATGCCCAAATGGAGTCACGAGAACGGAGAGGAGGATGCCTGTCCGGGTCGACGACTCCAAGTTGACCAAAGCCGCAGGTGTGAAGAGCCCCAAAGATGGCCAGAACTCAGGTGTCGGCTTCGTTTGTCCCAGACGGGGTGTCAGGTGGCCCTGGAGCCGTTGGTGTGTGCGATCGCTCAAGGGTGTCCTCAAAGCAAAAAGTGGAACTCAGAGAAGCTGCTGCCGCCTGGCTGCTCCTGTATTGGGTTCAGTCGTTCCATTCATTCCATTCTTGGGAGACCAAGGATGGATAAATTAAGTCACGAAACAGGAATGAAAACTTCCTGTTCAAACTCCACAAACTGAATGAGTTTGTGGAGTTGCAATGCTTGCAATGGATTTGTTTTTTTTTTTAGCATTTTTGGCTTATTTTTACTAGGTTTCGTGGCAGAATAATAATCCCTAGCCCTTAATAAAATCCAACTATTTGTGTTCTGAGCCTGCACTACGCTGCCAAGGGAGCGAAACAGGCTCTTTTCAGTGTAGAAATCTGTTTATAAATCACATTATGACTCGTTCTCCAACACCCACACAGTTTAACTACTTTTTGAGGGAGCATTTCTGAGTGTTTGGCTGACCACTAACCTGATGTGACAACCGAGGAAAGGGAGACAAGGCGCCCATGCCACTTATGTCATCACCATAGGCTGTGTGTGTTGAAAAATTAACATTGTCCATCATCAAGACAGTTTTCACCATTCCCATTGCGAATACTGGACGTTAAGATGCTCGTAGTGAGTATCCGATAGCAAACTGCCACGGCTGTCCTCTGGCACTTGCTTTCACAAAGGCAGGAACACACATTGCCACACGCCCACAGCTTCCAGTAACACATCGAACGAGAAAGAGGAAACCACGTTGGATGAGTTAGGGCAGCATGAAGGCAATTGTGCTGTAACTCTTTATTTCACTTCAACGGTCCAATGATCCCACCGCGCATGTTTTATCAGCAAACCAGACTTCACTTCAGTGCTGGTTTGAAACAACATGTTCCCGTCTGATTCATGCTCTTACAGTCACTCATAAGTTCAGGCCTCGCCGTTCTCGGGAACTGAGACAGGATGTCTTCTTCCTCTATCTTAAGAGACTGCGTTCATATCAATATGTTTGCTAATAGGATAATAAATCCATTAGTTCAAGGGAAAAGAGGCAGACACTGCTGTGGAAGAGCATAAAAAATTCAAAAGTAGGTTTTCTTGAGCTCATTAAGAGGGAAACAGATCAAGACAACCGAAGCCAGAAATCTACAGAGGACCTCACAGTTTGTGATTTCAGTTGCGAATTGTGCAAAAACCGTCCGTCCTTTATGTGTCGCTTTCAAGGAGCTTCTTGTTATCTTTTAGGAAGACATAATCAGTCAATCTTCAGACTTTTTGCTTTCTTAATATCTTTGCTTTTGTTCTGGGCAGATTTATTATTATTATTATTATTGTTATTTTCCCATTTTCAGAGAAATATCTTTGGGCTTAAAACCAATTCCTCCAGGAAACAAATGCTATTTTTTTTTGATGGGGCAGAGAAATTGGCCAAAATCAATGATAAGATGAATGTAGCGCAAGACGAGGGAAAAATCCTGGTAGAATACCAGAAGGAGAAAGTCTACAAAAGTTAAGTTTCACTTTCCATTAAGACAACAAACCATAGAGCCAGAGCAACAGAGCAACAGATATTCATGGGTTAGAATGGTTGTATCTTATCTCAGTAACCTATAGCTGCTTGTTGTTCAGTCTGCCTTTAGTCCATTAGTCTTGCTTTTGTGTGTGTGTGTGTGTTTACACCAGATAACCTCATGTTTTCAAGACAATATCATTGTGATGACATGCAACGACAACGTAAAATGTTAAATCTCACAGAAATTTTACATGTCTGTTTCCAAGCATGATGAGAGACACAACACACCTGCGGTTCTGTTTTAGAAAAGACTGAGCTCATTTCCTGACAATGACATGTAGCTGTTGAACGGTAAAACGGGGCTTTTTTATTCGTACTGTGGTTAGAAGAATCGCTGTGGTGAGAAAAAAGGCCAATAATAGTAAAAATAAATAAAAAAACAGATGTCCAGGGACATGTCCAGGGTGTACCCCAATACTCTTTCCTCACGGCCCAACATGGGCTTTAACTGCTTGACAGTGTTTCTTCTCCTCTCGCAGGTTTTCTCCTCACTTGCATATTTTTTTTTGGCCCTCGTCAGCCAAACTTCAGCCTGTCGGCAGCAGAGCTGTCGGTTACAAACCAAGAAGGTAGCTTTCTTTGCGATCTTTATCATTCTTGTTTTCATCACGCCTCCTCGTCTGCAGCCTTTTCAACTTAGGTTTGAGCCGAGCCTCTTTCACCGGCTCGGCTCAAACTTTGACCAGGGAAAAACACACTGCGCGAATGTTGTTTATCTTCATCGTCAACCTTGTGCAACAAGGCCCTTTTCAAATATGCTGCCACTTCCTTTATTTCGAAACCAATAAAAAATGTGTGTCACTTTCTCCAATTTGGTCTGGTTCGACTTAAAATAGGCTTTCATTATAAGAGTTTACAGCTAAATTTTACCAAGTGGTTTTGGTCCATTTTCTAGTGCAAATGTCTTGGCACACTTAAAATGAGACAAAACTAACTTACAAGACACCTTGAAGCAAGACATAAGCTTGTCTTAAATGAATAATTCTTCAATATTGATGAAAAAGTACTAGTTTTACTGGTAGATTATTTCAAGTGTAACATGGGGAAAATCTCTTGTTATAAGTAAATTATCTGCCAATGGAACTAGAACTGTTTTCAGTTCAAGAACAACAAGATAACAGAGAGCTAAACAGGAAAGAGTAGCTGCAATCTAATATGGTCAATAATTCCCACATCGGCGCTATATTTTACCCAATAAACAGGAATCAGCTTTTTGCGACTTTGACAGTCTCGAGTTTTACAAAGTGATGCCTCCTCCTGTTGATGGATCTGAACCTACACAATCTTAAAGAATCTGCTCCCCAATTTAAGCCATCCGAGCTGCAACGACTTGCAGACTCCAGCTGCAGGAGGTGCAACAGCAACCCCCCCCTGCTCTTCTAGACCATTAGAGTCAAACCCGCCCACCACAACCACAGCAATGGAGCGCACTTCCTGTCATTTTCATAGTAAATCTACAAGAAGAACGGATGAATGGAAGGAAAAAAAGAGATCTTTTTCCCCTTCGTGGTGTAACAATAACAGAACAGAAATGGCCTTTATTGTCCCAGAGTGGGGGAAATTCAAGGGTATAACTTGAGGTTCTCGGTTCTCACAAAGATTAAAAAGCATCGAAACTATTTGAAAACAATACAAAGCATAACTTACCGTACAGTAAGGACAGGATTATAATGTAAAACAGTGCAGTTATAGAAAATAGAATATGTGCAACAGAATGGGATAATGTTTTTTTTTAAAGGATGTGCAAAATGTGCTTGTGTATTTGTGTGCTAAAAGACAACAGGCTATTCACAATTCGTGAAAAATAAAAGCATCAGAGATGGGTACCGAGGTCACTCACAACACAAATCTGATTATTTCGCAAAGCCGGTCACTGAGGACACTGAGGTTGTCTCCTTTATGTTAAAAACTATGAAGAGGACGGAAACAGACTCCTGGTTTTTGGGAATTTTACCAAGTTTGATCATTTTTTTGCTGGTAGAAGTGGTCTGCGGTATATTTTCGCCAACTTTACACATCCACAGAGATAAACTGGAGCAGATGAGGAGCATCTGTGAGCAGCAAGTGGATGAAAAAAAAATAAAGATAAGAAAAGATCATTATTAGCTTTTTGGGTGTATCAGACAAAGTGAATTTCTTAGCTGAAAGGAAAATGACAACATATTTAGGCCGACATGTTCAGCTAATCCTGGACTCTTTAAGAGGCTGAATTCAAACGCATCCCATACGTTTCAGAATTTACGTGCCAAAAATGTGACCTCGGAGTCATTGACTTGTTTGTGCTCGACAGCAAATGCCTAAAAGTTTTTTTTTTTTTCAGTGTGTGAAAGTGAGTCAAAGTTTCGGGTTCATGGAAACGTTTTTTGCGAGACCTCTGCATGTGTTCAGATTTCTGGGCCCGCTGCCTACATTACTTTGCGCCATAGCTCTGCAGAAAAATAAAACCTGCATCTTAATCTGTACCTCCCAAAAGATAGAGTTTAAAATCCATCAAAGAACAAAAAAAAAAAAAAAAAGAAACAGCTTCTGCAGCTTGAGTTCCTGCAGATGTAAACGCCTGATGGTATGATTTGTTGGTGGTCTGTCCAGAGTTCCTCTTGTAGCAACAATAGCAGCTTTGTGGCTCTTTGCTCAGATCCTGGCAGCGATGTCCTTGGGTCCTGTGACTTTGGGTCCTGGCTCTCCCTCGTTTGTTCATTCCGCTCTCACAAGCCAGCATTTCTTTGGGACTGGTTTGTGCATACGCGTTTAAACGCGCTCATTCGCTT